CAAGTGTACTTTCTGGATGTAGTCCAACACTCGTACTATACTTGCATGGATATCATTTATCAATAAATAGGTGCATGAAAGCTCAGACGACCTACAGGTTCTAGTCCTGGTGACGAATTTGCTCCATCTCCTGGTCACCAACGAATCCTATCATCTACCGAGTTAGCTCCAATCGCTTTGATTGATCCAAATGATTCTCGTAATTCCATGAAGAAGGCCTATTGAGTGAGTAGAGATGGATAACGGGATGGATCCCTGCACCGTGGGGCACGCGGTTGAATTGTTCGTCTCTGAACTCCACCATCTTTCCCTTTCGAGTCTTTATCATCCCTTTATGTATACAGAGAACATATCTTTACCACATCCCCGATGAACGACGACCAACAGCCGAACGCGCGCTTCTTATCGGATCGAGTGGGCTTCTTTGTGATGATGGGCTAGAGCCATCGATTTAAGTTGGAACCAGAATGAAAACGGTATTGTATATCGCTAATTTTCATGGCTGGGGCCCGGAAATGACCTCTTTAATGGCCATTTCATCTCCAGAACGGATTGCCCCGGTCTATAGCTCAGGCCACTGAAGAGGGAGAGATCAGAACTTCTGGAGATATTAAGGTGGAGCTAGAATAAACGTGCGAGGGTTTACGACGGGCCAGCTTCACCAGACGCACCGTGGGTTCAATCACGTTATCTCTTGTATGTGTGATCCTGATAGGTTGGGTATCCTTCTCCGCGGAACTCGTGTCCGGATGTCTAGCTGTCAGTGGCGATGGAGGTGCCTTCCTCCAAAAAGCGTACTGCCTCCTTGTTGAATCGGGTGATGGCGGCGGTCTTGCCCTAGAGAGGCCCCTATGTAGTTGACGCTTGGATACGACGGTGTCACAGACGATCGGGATGATTCACGAGAGACGGGATTCAATATCTAGCTTGGTGATTGTTTACGTCTAGATCATCTGGTTCACTCTGTCCGCTCTCGAAATCCCTCGTTTTTGGGATTCTTTTCGTCCCACTGTGCCTAGCTTAGAGGTATTTGTGGACCCAATAGTTTGCCTGATTTGATTTTCATCGTTGCCCTTCGGTCTAGACCTGCCAGCCGCCTCATTCGAGCTGTCAAAGGCCAGCCATATGGGGTGGTAGACTGGCTATCAACTGCTTAAGCTATTGGGTGAGTGGGGCGAGAGTCCGTTCCTCACGAAGACAAATTGTCCAGATCAAGGTGGATCAAGCGGGCTTCCTGGACAATGCGCCCGACCCGGCTCTAGTATAGAAGTGGCACCCAGAGTAAGAGGAGACTATTGAAGCATTAGGAAATAGGCGCTAGACTTGGCTTATTGCGAAATGACAGATACCTTTCTTCCGCAACCAACTGGAGATGTCCTTTCCATGAATGTCCCGGTCCTACTCCCCTTGCGTCAAGTTACTGGCTTGATTATTGTGAATGACCCAACGCAACGAGAGAACATTGTTCATGGAACCAGCAAGTCGAAGGAACTTCGAGGACCGGGTGGGTGAAGACAATTTCGAACAATTCCGGGCTGAATGTCCACAGAACCCACGTGTTTTCTTATGGTAAATAAAGGTAGTACAACAAAATCTGTACAAAAGTGAAGGCACCTTAAGTCAAATTAGGGTGAAAGGTCAAGTTTTGCAGTTGAGCGGCCCTCTGTATCTGCGATTATGGAAGTTTAAGAGGGTTCAAACCACCTCTAGTTTGACTTCATCCAATAAAGGTAAGGGGGATGGAGGCTTCAACATACCGTGTATTCCTGGCCTCGAAGCTAGCATGACGCAATCAACAGCCTGTTCTGCTATCTTCAAAACGTTGGATAGATGGGAAGAAATCTTTTGAGATTTAACGAGGGATGATTGGATTTGTTTGCTTGGAGTCAGAAGGAAAGGCGGGCAAGTGGTAGTGGGCGCGTTTGAATGGCTCGTTTTCTGATTCGGCCGTGTCCCTACCCTAGTTCTCATTCTCATTTTTCGAACGCAGAAATTTATCACCACCAATTGTTCCTTACAAGACCGTAAGGAACATACAATTATAGTTATCCTTGCAAACAGGAGCCTAAATAATCGGCATCGCGGCGCAACAGTCCGAATCTACATTCGGACCATGGCTTGAATCATTTCTCGCTTGCAGCGAACCGATGGATCATTGAATCGAGTCATATAGCTGGAGAATACGTCAGTCGAGGCCCTTGCATGGGGTAGACCCACTTCAACTCTGCCATAATCGTCATGTCATCTCCCCCCCCCAAAAAAGACCCTTCACTCTACGGCACTTCATGACCAATATAGTCTCAAGATCTTTAAAGAAGATTATCTAGCCTCGAGCTCCTACGGAGACCCCGTCAATCCTCTTGGTGGAGAAGACATTTCCAATTCAGGTCAACATTCACCTACCATCAAACGCCTTGAACAACGAAAGGGTTTTCTCGAGATAGAAAGTATAAGATGCCACGAACTTGGATCCGCAGAAGTAGCAGCCCATGTTCCGTTACCCGAATCGACTTCA